TCCCCAAAATACCACATACAAAAAATTCGCCACTCGAGGCTATACTTTGTAGGACCCTCCGGCCCATGTGTCTCAGCGGGACCCTCCAGTCTCGTAGCTCGTTGGACCCTCTGGTCCGGTCTAGCTCGTTGGACCCTCCGGTCCGGTCTGATTGAGAACCCTCTGGCCTCATAGATCGTTGGACCCTCCGGTCCGGTCTAAGCAACAATATTATAGCATACAATACATATCACACAATCATGCATAACTCAAACAAGCACATAAGACCTTCTGGCCACACATAACTACCACTCTAGGTAAAGTATAGTGAGAAGACTCACCTCGTAAGATAGCTAGTAAAAATCTCGTGCCAGAAATCCTCGGTCTAGCCTCCGCCTATCACAAGATAATATTTCTAATTAATATTCTACCCTTATCTCTGAAGAGTGGGTAAAAGACCGTTCTACCCCTCTCTGGCCCCTTTCACTCATGTTGACCAAAACCCCACAGTCAACAGAAGTCAACTCCAGTCAACGGTCCAACTTTGACCAGACTCGCCTAGTGCACTCGTGCGACTCGTCGAGTCCCATCGATTCTCAGTAATCTCATGAAGGTCCAGCTCGTCGAGTTAACCCCCTAACTCGCCGAGCTATCGCATGATCGAGTTCATCGGGACAAACCCTAACCGGCTCGTCGAGTCGGCTCATCAACTCGGCGAGTCCGCTCGGTCTCAACTTGTATTCAGGTGATTTCAAGGCAGAAAACTCTCTCACACTCTAGATCTAAGCTCTCAAGGCCTGAATATCACGTAAAGCCTCGAGCTTTACGTTCATGCATAGCACCAAAGGGCTAAAAATGCCAAGAACAAGCTTGAGAAGAAGTCTCTCATTCAAGGGGCTATCATGGCTGAATAAAGCAGGGGGCTTTCGACTCTAGGGACCTCACAAGGTCCAGATCTGATGTCTATTTCTAAGAAGGTGCTCAAAACCTTCAAGGTCCCCAAAATAAGATGAAAATGAAGCCCTAACTCTAAAACCATGAGATCTATCCATACAAGAGAGAAAGGTACGAACTTTATACCTTGAATAGAAGCTCTTGGATGTCTAAGCAGCAGATCTAGCAACTTCTTCACAATCCTTTCTTGGAATCCTCTTTCCCTCTACCAAAATGCACCAAAGATCTCAAACAATGGCTCAAAACTCTCTCAAAAGCTCAAGGGGCGATTAGGGTTTCTCTCAATGAAAGGAAACAGATGGAGAGCCGCAAATGAGGCTATACTTATCCTTATATAGGCCCCAAACTCGGGGATTTAGGGTTTCAACTCACAGCGCCTACTCGGCGAGTCTACTCCCGGACTCGTCGAGTAGATCATTAAACCCACGTGGCCATCCCGACTCTACTCGGCGAGTTATAGCACCAACTCGTCGAGTAGGTCAATGAACCTCAAAAATAAATACTTAAAATGACATACCTGGGAATCCGGATGTTACAGTTTGACCAGACTTGACTGGATCTCAATTACTAGCAATCATTGATATTAAAGGTTAATTCAAGAATTGTGTTTTCAAACCTTGTCTGTGCATTTAATAAAGTTTAAGTACTCACAATTGGTATCATAGCCTAAGTGGTTGTCCTTTGAATCCATAAGATCATATTATAGTTGATTTAATATTACATTGGTATCTTAATCATTTATGTGTTTAGGATAAAAGTTCTTTTTTATACCACTTTAGCTCTAATATCTTAATTTCAATAGCTGCTACTAATCCTTCTCAATAAATTTATTTAATGCAAATCTCAAATTGCATGGGTTACCCTTCACGTGCCTCACTGGTAGTTGTTGAAGAGTATGATCATCTGAAAGTTAGAATGGAGAGATTTTTTGTTGGAAAAGAAAATGGTGAATAGATATGGAGATCAGTTTAAGAAGGTCCTCATGTTCCTGTAAGACAAGTTGTTAGAGATGTTGTTTCTGTTATCATGGGTCAAGAAAAAACACGAAAGACACCTCTCACTGTGAATGACATCAAAAAGCTCAAAGCAGATCAGATTGCAGTTCCAAAGTCTCCATCCGAGATTCGTAGTTTCCTCGGGATGGCAGGCTAATATCGGAGGTTCATTAGAGATTTCTCTAAGATTGCAGTTCCTCTCACTAGACTGACTAGGAAGGATGCTATTTTCCATTGGGGGCCTAAGCAGCAGGCAGCATTTGAGACTCTTCGGCAGAAGCTCTGTGAGGCGTCGGTGCTTACCCTTTCGGAGGGAGTTGAGGATTTCATGGTGTATTGTGACGCATCAATCATGGGTTTTGGTGCAGTATTGATGCAGAGGGGACACGTGATCGCTTATGCTTCAAGGCAACTGAAGCCTCATGAGGCAAATTATCCTACACATGATCTGGAGTTGGGGCAGTGGTTTTCGCCCTCAAGATTTGGCGCCACTACATGTATGGGTCTGGTGTATTATTTATATGGACCACAAGAGTTTGAGATACCTGATGGATCATCCCAACCTAAATATGAGGCAAAGGAAATGGCTTGATGTAGTGAAGTACTACGACTGTGAGACCTTGTACCACCCCGGGTAAGGCCAACGTGGTGGGTGATGCATTGAGTCATAGTAGTACTCTGATTCAGGAGGTATACATGAGGATGACATTAGTGACGAGATGATCAGGGCTGCTCAGATGGAGGCCATCAAGGTGGAAAATCAGAAGAGTGAGCGGGTGATTGGCCAGATGTCAGCTTTTAATTATGATGGTCAGGGGTTGCTGACACTTCATGGTAGGATTTAGGTGCCTTATGCAGGTGGGACCTAATAGATTTTTGATGGACAAGGCACACACATCGAGGTTTTCCATTCACCCAGACGTGACAAAGATGTATCATGATCTGATACATAGTTACTGGTGGCCAAGTATGAAGAGAGATATAGCTTGGTTCGTGGAGCGGTACTTAACTTTCCGAAAGGTCAATGCCGAACATCAACGCCCTCATGGAAAATTGCAGCCCTTAGAGGTCCCATTGTGGAAATGTGAGCAAGTGACCATGGACTTCATTATAAAGTTACCGAAGATGGTAAAGGGTTATGATGTCATATGGGTGGTTGTGGACCGTTTGACGAAGAGTGCTCACTTTCTGGCCATTGATGAGAGCTCTTCTGCTGAGAAGTTGGCAGAGATTTATGTTCGAGAGGTGGTTGCTCGCCATGGCGTGCCCTCTTCGATTGTGTTAGATCGGGATGTTCATTTCACTTCCATATTTTGGAAGAAGTTCCATGAGGAGTTGGGTACCCGATTGCATTTTAGTATTGCTTATCATCCTCATACAGATGGGCAGAGCGAGCAAACCATCTAGACGCTCGAGGATATGCTGAGGGCATGTATCATAGACTTCGGTAGGAGTTGGGACTCCTACCTACCTCTGGCTGAGTTTTCTTATAAAAACAGCTATCATGCTAGTATTGGTATGCCTTCCTTCGAGCTTCTCTATGGGAGGAAGTGTCGGATCCCGATTTGTTGGGGAGAGGTTGGTCAGCGGGTCATGGGGAGCATGGTGATCGTTCTCAAGACAACGGAACTTATACAGCAGGTTACATAGAGATTGCAGACAACCCAGAGTCGCCAGAAGAGCTACGTCGACCGACGCCGATCTAAGTTGGAATTTCAGGTCGAGGATATGGTACTCCTAAAGGTATCGCCTTGGAAAGGCTTTATCCGATTCAGGGCAAGTTGGGCCCCAAGTTATCGGTCCATTACGGGTGATAGCTAGGGTAAGCAAGGTGGCCTACCGACTGGATTTGTCAGATGATCTCAGTCAGATTCATAGCACCTTCCATGTTTTCGAGTTACGAAAATGTGTGACTAACAAGATCCTGTGTGTGAGAGTTGTCGTATTTTTAGCTGCTATTCGCAAGGTGGGTCTTCTTACTACTTTATCTGTGTGGTATTTATGTATGTGACCAGCTGGGTCTTAATTGTTGTATGTTATTTGTTTGAATTACATTGCTGATATACTAGGATTACTGATAATCCCTAGGGTTGCTAATAACCCCTAAGCATGCTGATAATCCATAGGGCATGCTGTTAGCCCATCGGGGTTGTTGAAAATCCTCAGGGTTTGCTGATAACTCATAGTTGTTATTATGTTGTGTAGTATGGATATTTTGGGAAGGACTCACTAAGTTTTATGCTTACATTTGTGGATTAAATGTGTTTCAAGTACCTAGGATGATCGCGGAAAGGCGAATGCATGATTGTACACCCCGGCTTGTAGATCTTTTATGACTTCCACATTTTGATACTCTGATTTAGGATGATTGTATTGATACACCTAGGATTTCTTGTTTTGGTTTTTATGATACTGAGAGGATTTTGCTTAAATAAAAATGAAAATTTTGTTGTGAATTTTGGGTTGTTACACTGTGCATCATGATACTCCACTATGGTCCAAGTGGTCCATCATGTGTGTTGTTGATGCTCATGGGTTGTATGATATGGAAGAATGTTCTAAAAGATGTTGCATGGCGGAATATGATTGGTTGTCACCTTTCAAGAGCCTATGGGCTTAGCCCATTAGGGTTTTAAGTCTGATCCCTCAAATATAAATAGGGATGCATACTAGGTTATTTTGGATCTTGAATTCTAGAGTGTTAGATGAATCTCTATGAAAATTGTACACGTAACCTATGTTTGAGTGCTATTAGTTTTGTTTGTTATCCGTTTTACTTCCTAACAGTTTGTACATGTATAGGATTGTACATTATTGTATTTCTCAGGGGATAAGATTGATATTTTGTAGCAAGCACTTGGTTAACGATAATCAACAAACCAGCAATCTTGATTGATTCATCATGAAAAACTTGAGCACTTTCTTGTAATATTCTCTTTAACAATCCATCATGTAATGTAGTTCATATATGTAATGATAAGGTTATTCCACCAAATGATGGAGTAAAAGAAAATGTTTGTTGTAATTTTAACATAAAACTTTTTGTATGTATTAATAAAATGATAAAAATATGTTGCATTTTTGCCATTAACCATGTATCTTTCCACTATATATATAGTGTCACAAGTCACAACAAGCTTACTACATCCAGAAACATCAAGACTCAAGATTTGAATCTTTCAAGATTCAGCTATACTTGTCATCTTCTTCAATTCATTTTGTTGTAACTCTATGCACCCAACGACCCCGGAAAACTCTTCGGCTGCAAATGACATTGTACTATCTTCCCTAACCAAACGCCTCTGTTTGAGCTTTGTAATGGCCTGTGAAACCTCCCCAATTGAAGGCCTTTTTCTTGGTGTCTTATGCAAACATCTGTGTGCTATTCTTGCCATGCTCCTCACATCCACTGGATCACACTCCCCAACAAGTGCCTTGTCAAGAATTTCATCCACCCCATCTGAACTCATTGCTGCCTTGTTAATTTAAAAAGAAAATGAAGATTTAATAACAAGAAAACACCCTAAGAACTAATTAAAAGTGTTGAAAGATTAGGAATTTAGGAATATTAGCTTACTAGATTGACATATTCCATGAGATTTTGTTGTGGATGAATAGCAGTGATGAGTTCAAATAAAATGATTCCAAAACTGTAGATGTCACTCTTCATTGTGAACTTGTTTGTAGAAATATACATAGGATCAATGTATCCGTATGTGCCTTTAAGCCCCGAGTTTCTTCCATCATACACCTCTTCTTTTGATAGCCCAAAATCTGCAACCTATTATTTACTTTTACATTTTCATGTCAAATATCACCCATTTTCAACAACACAAAAACAAATTGAGGCTTTAAGTCCTAACTTATTACAAATTTGCCCTCGTTTACTTCCATTTCTCCAAGTATGTAGTTGTTTTCTCAAATACTTTTTAAACATCTTTTATCTAGACATAACTTTAGGGGATGTTTGGATAAAGTGATGTATGTATACACTAAATGACCATTTTACCCTTAGTTACGGAAATACAAGATGAGATCTCACCTTGGCTCTCATGAAGTGATCGAGCAATATATTTGCAGACTTCAAGTCTCGATGTATGACAGGTGGAACTGCCTGATCAATGAAGATATGAATTTGAGTCCATTGTTGAAGATATATAAACCACAAAATAATAATAATTATAAGTAAATAATAAAAAAAACAAACCCCATCATGAAGGTACTCTATTCCATGTGAAATATCAAGGGCAATTTGAAGTCTTTCTTCCCAATTCAACGCCTGCTTTTTATCATCTATGTATGGTTTTAGACACGAAAAGTTCCTTAATTTAGTATCACACAACACAAGTAGATGATGTAGATATTCAAAGGGTTAAATGTGTATTTATTCAACAATGTTTAATCTTTTTTCCCAATTTAGGAAGAAAAAAAAAGTGGTTTTTTAGACGAAATATGTAACCAGGTTTCATTCTAGGAATTAAAAATGGTTACTTACGCAACAATGATGACTTTTTTTACCAATTTATTTATGGGTAAAATAAAATATTGAATCTTTTGGTCCTACAATTGAACTTTATTGCATATTTCTTATAAAAAGAGCCATTTTGTTGTATGAATTGGGTAAAATGTGAAACATAAACATTGTATTAAAAAAGCATTTATTTTTTATGGGCATTTTGGTAAAAGCAACAAGAAACGAGTGATTTTACATACCATATAGAAAACTTGACAAGCTTCCATTACTCATATATTCATATATTAACATCCGTTGTCCTTTATCTACACAATACCCCACAAGATTCACCAAGTTTCTATGATGCAACCTTCCCAAAAGAGATACCTACAACAACACCAAGAAAATTAAACTTCCATTTTTTAAATAATTTTGGAAAGTGGCCTTCCTAGGGTCTTTTATAAATTAATAAAGGAAATTGAATCAAAAGTAGATTTCCCATGATTAATCAATGACATGAGATATATAACTCGATTAGTAGCCATCAAACACGTGTTTAGACTTTAGATCTTGCAAAAGGGCATAAAGGTAATTTGACATTCGAACGAGTTGGTGATTACCTCAGTTTGAAATTCTTTCTCCCCTTGTTTGGAATCAGAAGCAAGAGCCTTTACAGCAACAACTTCACCAGCAGGCATTGTAGCTTTATATACTGGACCAAAAGACCCTTGTCCCAAAATGGTTGTAAAGTTTTTTGTAGCTTTTTGTAAGTCCCTGAAAAGTAATACAAGCTCAATAAATGTAATTCTAAAGAGGAGGGTATTTTGGTCTTTCAATAAAAAAATTATTTAAGTTTAAATACTTATTGTTTATCACTTTACTTTAAATATATATACTAGTAGAACTCTATATTTTAATTAATCTCAATATATAAAGAGGGCATTTTGGTCTTTCAATAAAAAAGAAAAAATAGAATCGACTTCCTCCCACCCTCCCCATCAAACATGAAATTTGTAAAAAATTCAAAACGGAATTGACTTCCGTCTATTTGGCAACTAAACAAACCTTGGAATGGAATCTCGGATTCCAATTCCGTCAGAATCCACAAACCAAACATGCCCAAAATGTATTATATAATAATCCTTTTCTTTCTTTTTTCTGAGTACTAATTTTTAAATTATCTTTACATAACTTTTAATATATCTTACAATAATAAACGACTTTAGGCACATTTAAAATGCACAAAAAAAACCCTACTCGACACTTTTTATCCAAAACTTTTCATTCTTGCACCATGTAACATGTTTCTTTTTGCATTTTAAAGAATTCATAAGACTAAAGTTTGAAAAAGAACATACTTGTAAGAGTATCTTGGTAGGCCTGAAGCTGAAGCCAACTGTTCTTTACCATTCTTATTCCATTTTGCAAGAGGAGAAGTTTTTACAGGATAAGTCGATACTTTAACACTCACTGAATTTGTTGAAAAAGATTCACTCAAAATATTACTTGTATCCACACCATTTCTACGTATAGGAAGAGTTGAAGCATTATGATCATTTGCACATTTTCTAAGGTGGGCCCGCCTTTTATACCATCTTATACCAAAGAATGCAAGTGATGCTATAAGTATGCCAACAGCTACACCAACACAGATTCCAATGATCACTAAATCAGCTTTGTGAACCATGTTTTCTATCTCTTTGTAGCATCAATGAGAACATCTTGCAACAAATGTCTTCAAGTTCTGAGACATACAATGGTATATAGTTAAATTATCTACGCAGGAAAGGGTATAATGGTAAAAAAATTGTGAACTTTTCCCCTAAAGCAGTTTTGTTTTGGACTTATTCAGTTATTTGTTTTGTTTTATAGTAGATTGAGTTTGCTTTGGGGGCATCAACACTTATGTGACACAAGAGATAACTGAGGCTATGTAAGCTTAGCATTTTCCTTTTGTCTCTTGAGAATTGTGACACTTGAATTGGGGATAATTTCAGGGAGGTCTATAAGATCAGTCAAAATGTCTAAAATACCCTTTAATACTTACGAAAATAAAATAATTTTGTCAACCCAAATTAATATCATCGAAATGTATTTATGTAACAAAAATCTCTGTGTTGAATCACAGAAATGAAGATCGGTGTTCCAAATGAATATCAGATATTATGATTTAGACAATGGTATACAATGTAATTCAGGCAAGAAATCGTCAATTTATGCAGTAGTCAACACCACTATCAAATGCTTATCGGCAAAAGTGGCAAAGAACCCTAAATCGTCACAAAGTAGAGCTTCAAAGCAACATGAACTAAACAGATCATTAAAGGTTAACCAACACATAACAAACAGTCGAACAAGAATTTTTTCAAGGACGTGTGAATCTAAGGAACCCAAGTTTCCTCGGGTGATTCGTGATCCTCTGACCTGCTGCTGGATCAAATTGAATTTGGTTTCTGCTAAAAACCTCTCGAATCAATAAACCCACTTCCAAAAAACACCCAATTACTACAAATCAAGCGGTGAACACCAACTAGCAAACACAATATCAATCACATAAGAAAAATGGATGAATCTTTACCTTTTTGTAGAGCGAGGGAGATCAGTTTCTACAGTGGATTATGGAGAAAAGTTGATCAAGAAACAAGACCGAGTCGAGTGGGTTTTGGTTGAAATGGGAATACTTTAGTAGAGATGAAGGAAGTAAAGAAGTCGAAGTCTACCAAGGACCAAAGATTAAGACAGATTGAAATTTCCAATTTGGGTTTTGTGAAAACAAAAAACTAATTCAACCAAAGACTACTACCGCCGGAGGCCGGAGCGGGTGTACAATTTGTTTAATTAATGATTGTGGGCAGTGTTTATGACTTTATTCCATGCCAAGAAGGTGGTTTCATGTTAATAAGATCTACGAATACATTATTTTAGTGAAGTGAGATGCTTACAATTATTTTTTCTTTTAACTCGATTTATAGTAGAAAACTAGAAATGAAACTCACACTAGAAATCTGTAAATGTAAGTGGCTTAAAATCATAAATAATATAAGGATAAAGTTTGGAAATAAAGTCAAAGTCAACTCATTCTTTGTAAATCTGTAAAGAAAATTAACTTTATAAAAATAAATATATAAAAAATTTGAAAAAAGTTTTAAAAACATACAAAAAAAGTTGAAAAAATCTGTAAAAAAGATTTGGACCTTCTCAAGATTGCTATCTCATGCTACTAAAAAAATTGTAAAAAAGATTTGGATTGTCTCAAGATAGGTATCTCATGTTGCTATATCATATGTTATCGAGATATAAATTCCCTTCTACATACCACTTCCTTATATGTTAAAGATGATAGGGTATTTAATTCTTAGTCGATAACAACTCATGTAAAAGATTAGTATCCAGCACACTTGAGTTGTTAAAAAAAATAAAAATACTTATTCTAATATCAATGCACTAATCTACATACCACTTCCTTATATGTTGATAAATGTAGAATCGGAATTCGGTATTATGATTGAAAAATATTTCAAAACCTATTTTCATTCTAAAAAGGTAGAAAAATCTAAATCTAAATTTGTTTATATATTGCTTCATTTTGCATGGGCCCCATTACATAATTTTTTTTAAGAAAAAAGATGGTTTATTAAAGAAGATAAATCACGTTGAATGTTGGAACGATGTGATCGAGAATGCATAAAGTAGAAACTATCACAGCACATGCTATTATACCTAATTCTCCAAAATGATCGGTTGAAACGTCCTTTGCAACCATTAAAAGTTTAGCCACTTGCTCCATTCCCGTGATATAACGAAATTACATAAATCTCATTGTCTCAATCACCAGTAACCATCATATAGTACTTTCTTCCACGACTATACATAAATACAAGTTGATTTAAACAATGTTTTATCGTCAACGGGTCAACAGCATGTATACAAGTTTTCATATCCTCTTATTTTAAAAAAATAAATACTATTTTATAAATAATCGTGACAAGAAAAAAGTCTGTTCAAGTCTACACCTTTAAATTCCATTTATTAAATCATCAAAGATAAAATCACCATCAAAAATAACTTTTTAATTTTTAGTAACTTTTCCTTAACTTCTTGGACTATTCTTACAGATCTTTAAAAATATTATTCACCACACAAAGCTACAAATAAGGTGAAAGTATGTATTTCAAGACCCCCACAACAAACAACACATAACAAGTCAAAATTTTGATGAAATTTACGAAACTACCCTTTCCCAGCATCAATAGCAGCATACACGAAATCCTCACACTTACCAGATGACATGACATCAGCCAACACACCGATGACATCAAACGCCTCCTGTAAATCACCAACAGAACTCATATCATCCAACCATGACAACATCTCTTTTGAAAATCCAACCAAATCCTTCACATTCACTAATCTCTCCTTCATCACCACCTCCCACCTCTCCAAATCCTTCTCATTACTATTACTCTTCTCCACCAAATCCTTTTTCTTTTCAACCTTGAAATACCTCTGCAACTGTTCGATCAACCCCGTGTACACCAACATTGGCTGGATGATGGCCAGTAGCTCCTCCGGTTTGGCGGCGGTTGGCGGGCGGTGAGTTGACCGGGAGTGGGTCCGTTGCATGTAGGCGTGGTAGATACCGCGTTGGAGGAACGTGCGGCGGTGTTGGAGCCAGGACTCGTGTGATTCCGATAAGAGGGAGGTGACCATCATGAATTGGACGGTTTCTTCTGTAGCTGTGGTGGTGGTGGTGGTAGGTGGTGGGGATTTGGAATCCGGTGTGGAGGACGCGAGATAAGATGCTACGGATTTCGCAAGGTTGTGGCGTTGGGATGGGTCGTGGTCGAGGAGGTAACGCGCCATTTGGATCATGAACGGGAGGAATTTTGCGTTGCTTTCTTTTCCTCCGCCTCGACTGTCTGTGCTGAATGATGCTCCTGTTGCAAATCTCGCAAGCATCTGTGCAAACATAAATGAAATTAAAAAATAAAATTAAACGTTACAATTTATATTACAATGTTACAATATCACATACCAGAACAATATCATAAGTCAACAAGCGAAGTCGACTTCCATCAGCACGACCAAGGGCGTTTAGGTAATCCCAGTACTGATCAACATAGCGTGTGTATTGCGCCACTGGAACTGCGGGACCCTTTAAGGGGAAGAGATTATTGCAAAGTGTCTCGTTGTTTCTAAGGGCAGCTCCATCCCATTCCTTTTTGGGGGTTTTTAAAGCAGCATCGGCTCGTTTAGCCTCTTGGTGACATTGGAAATGTATGATGTTGAAATGGCTGACACTTGTGTAGACACAATCGCCACGTGTGCTGCTGCTTCCTCCTGAAGTGCTACTCCCAACACCAAGGTTTACCCTTTTGCTGAATGTGTAAACGCCAAGTAAGTCGTTTGGTCTTAGACTGTATCCTTCTCGGCATACCATGCAAGCTAAACCCTCTTCCTCTTCTTCCATTTCTTCTAAACCTTCTAGAAGCGGTTGAGATACAACGATTCGTTTCCCACCATCTGATGCCATTTCTTCTTGCATCCCAAGCGTCTGTTTAACAAATTCTCAGCTTTATTTCCTTCAAAAAAAAAAAATGGATACGAAAAGTAAAAGAGAAGAAAATTACCTGAAGCACGTCCTTTCTTTTCATTAAAGCGAGTCGTTTCATTTCATCTCGCGTGGCATGGCGTAAAGCGCTGACTTTCTCAGCAAGGAACCCGTCGCCTTTTCCTTCTTTATCTGAAATTGTATCCAACAAGTTTTCAGCTCTCGCTCCAATTTCATTTTCTCCCGCTACACCTTCCAAGGCATGGAGTAAAGGTAATATCCCTCCTTCATCGATGCACTTTTGTGTCGCCAGGTGTCCCATTGAAAGCCCTCTGAGCATCGAGAGAATGAGAGGAACGGATGGAAGTTTTAAACCGGAACCCCATTCCGGTCTAGACCGGAATCCAGATTCCCCAGTGAAAGCGAAACTGTCCTTTAAATGTCTAACTGCAGATTCGGTAATTTTGGTTTCCAATATGATGTCTTTTAGTCTCTCCCCGCAAGAGCTTGTCTTCATTGATTCCGAAACCCGAACAAAATTCTCAACCGCGAATCTCTGTTTCGATGCTTGTAAAAAGACGGTTTCGTCCTTGGGATTTTCCGCATGTTGTTTCTGCAAAGTATCGAATTCGACCCAGTTCTTTAAGTAAGGATCGAAGTGTTGCACGAGTGCTTCCATTGCAGCAGGCTCACCGTAAGTCAAGTAAGGTAAAATTCTAGCAACCATCTCGGTGTTTCTCTGTTGTTTGCTTGACTTTTTTACCCCTAGCGGGTACGACAGTCTCTCCAGGAACATGAGGACTATCTTCTTGGCTTGCTCGCCAGCACCAGCTTCTTCGTTGGAAACAGTGAGGGCGTTTTGGGTAATGTTGATATTGTCACTTTCGTTGGCTTCCATTGTTAAACTTTCTACAATTAGAAGAATTCCTTCAGCTGGCTCAATGGCATCAACGGAAAACGCACGTCTTGCGATTTCAAGGAGTAGGCTTAAAGCTCCAAGTTTCAATAGAGCTGTTCTGTTTCCCCTTATTTTGCAGCAGTGCATTAACAGATTCAAAACAGCCACTAATTGCTCCTGGTTTGACTTCAAATCATCTCGCAAACGCTTCAACAAAAAAAAATTGAAATTAGAAATTTAGAATATGCTAAAAAGTGATGCATTTAAGCACAGAATATTATTCATACCTGAACAATTTCCAATAAAATTTCCAACCCGCCACATTCCCGAACTGCCCCTGCTATAGCAAACTCAACTTCAGGATCTTGGGACTCTTCTCTGTCCTCGTCCAATTCTTTAATCATTGGTTCAGTAGCTTCACCATCTAACCCCTGTTAATAGCCAACAAGCATTTAAATGGAGAAAATAGCAATCTACTTTGGCACATAGAGAATAGTAAGTTGTGAGAAAAAATAAATAAACCTGAAGTCTGTAGGTCACTGTCATGGGAGGAGAATCTCTTGCTGACGTGGCAGCGTTGGAAGAAAGCAATGTGGCAGCAGCAAGTGCGTTTGTGGATTGACTACTAGACTTTTTCCAGACTTGTTCGTAAACTTGGGCAATGCTTAAATCAAGGGAGATTATGTTTCCAGCTACTAGAAGTTCCATACCATAATCATCCTCAATAAGACCTAAAAGATCCAACTGGTTACAAATTTTGTTTTTGACATCACGCATTAATGGACCTATTTCAGCACTTGAATAAGGATTTTTGGTCATTGAACCACGGATGAACTCTTCTTGTGTGTGTGCCTTGTTCAGTATCAAATGGTATACAGCTTCGGGTTTTGATGGGCATATCAGGTTACAAAGTTGCTCCAGTATGAACTGCAGAAGAAGTTATTGCAATTTTAGTTGTGAATGAATCAAATAGAATAAAATGTCGGGATAAACAGTAACTTTTACATACCAAATTAGATCGCCCTCTTTTATCCTCCCCATGAGTCTGTAAACCGCGAATGCATGCCTGGATGAAATGTTTTTTATTTTCAGCACTTTCCAGCAAAAGACTATCGAGAAGATCCTTTAAAAGTCGACTGCAATCACTTATCAGCTTTGTTTTCTGCACTATTAATCCCCTAACGACAATAAGGGCCTCAAGGACTTCCGAGAGCAGTTGTTCCTTCATGAACCTGTCATCAAGTGACATTTATTATTTATATGTAAAAACAAGGGTTTCAAGTTTTAACTATCAAGATTTGATAAAGAACAAAGAATATATATATATAGATTATACCTGGATCTGATATTTGGGACGTCTAAAAACTTTCCAAGGAGCTCGATGAGCTTATGAAGGATGAAACCCTGTGAGATGTCAATACGCAGACTTCTCTCCAAAGATTCAACATTACTCACCTCTTGTGTGATCAGCTTACAAATTGTGGTCAAACATCCACGTACAGTCAAGAAAAGGCGTGCATCTTCTGTCTCAATCATTTTAAAGAGCAATTCGAAATACTCAGCAGCGTTTTCACCAGCAGAAAGAGTTGCAGGCAACAAAGACATGAGTAGGTTTAGTAACCGAAACCGTCTTGATGAGCCTTGTGCACAAAGCAAACTGATCAACATGCACATCTCTGATCTTATAGATTGAGAACAAGCACTTAGAACCAGTTCTGTAACCCATGAACCCAATTCAAAAGAAGCAATTTCACTCTTGTTTGTCTTGCAAGCACGACGTTTCCATCTAAGAGCATATTTCAATGCGAGAAACTCATACTTCTGAGGGCGTGACCTCTGTCCAGGTATAGTTGTTTGTGAGACTTTATGTCGCCTTACAAAATCAAGATACGAAGCACCTCGTTCCCATTCTGAGTAACTTAAGAGCTGTATATCATGAGTCTTCTGAGAACCGTTTAAGCTGTTTTCATCTTTTTGTAATGGAATGGGAACTGGGTTAGGTTTTGATCCTGCTTGTTCTTTGTCTGATGAATCAGGTTTTGGAGGAGTGCATGCTTGTGATATGATTCTCAAACAAGGAAGAATGACGTGTTCAGATATAGAAGGATGTTTTGCGCCCAATTTGATTGAAGAAAACAACAGCTGGAAAACGACACGTAATCTTGACTCCCAAAATTCATTAGCCAATGAGCACACTTCTGAAAGCAAGAGCAACTCTTCACGTGTGGCAAGTGCAATATCCATGGAACGATGATGCTCGAGACAATACATTACTTTCTTCTGAATCAAGACATTCAGTTCAGACACTGCGTTTTTGTCACCTTCAGAGAAGGCACATAGTGCTGCCCGGGCTTGGACTCGGGCAGTTTTCGGACCTTGATGGATGTTGTTCTCGAATAATTCAGATAAAATTCCAGCAGACACAAGCTGCTTTTTGGAACTTGAGTGCTTTGACAAGACTTGCAGCAATTCAAGACACTGTGTAACGAACACAGTTGCACACCCGTAACAGCTGTTTGGTGACCTGGACACCACTAGTCTGGAAGAGGCTACCGAGTCATCAGAATGTTTTTGATGCAAGTAATTCATTAAAACGCGTCGAAGCCCTTGAAGCGTCTGAATACTTTTACTGACTGAATCGAAAGCAGCTTTGCATTTTTCACCATATAGAACACCAAGAAGCGCGATCTTACGGTTTATCTTACATGAAGGGCCGGGTAGAGAAACCATCATTTGCTGAACGGAATCTTTCTGTTGAGAGTCCATGTCGTTTTCACCAATGCTTGATACAATCTTTAGTAAAGGTTTTTTGAACCCTAAAAGCTGCTGGTATCTCCTATGAGCATTTTCAGATTCAGATTCAATAGCAGCCAACCCTCTCTTCATATCATCATCGTTCTCCATGTTATCAAATGTGAAACTCGGTTTCGCCATGAAATTGAATTCAAACCGACCGTATTTGCTGTAACCACACTCGTTACATAAAAAGGAATCCAGATTTTCATAATTGATGTTCCGACATTGTCTACACTGGTAAGCATTTTCATGACAATTCCCACAGATTCCGTGTCTATCGGTTACAGGTCGACTGCATCGTGGGCATTGCAGAGGTTCAAGAGACAACGCCTGAAGATTTTCATAAAAGGAATCGAGTTCAATCATGAAGTTACACGCGGTGATCGGGATTGGGAAATCCACTTTGAGTTCGGTTTGATTGAACGCCAGATGGCAGATTTTCGCGCGTTTCCATAACGCCCAGTTGTTTTTAAGCTCCGCCAGGTCAGCAACAGGTCGATTGTTGTAATACAGATTCAGGACTTTGACCGATTTAGACTTACGAGCATCGTGAACATTCATGGTGACACTCTGAATGGTGTAGCTTCCTGTGCATTTCACTATTATCCGATTGTCAGTGAATTTCGTTTCGGATTTTAAACTCTCTAATTTCATTCTACTGTAAGGAAGCTCGGGACAGCTACACGCGACACATGGCTCACTTTCGAGATAGTAGCCATCAAACTCTACCAACCCACTTAAGGTGTTGTAGATGCGTGAATTCGGATGGTTGGCCAATAGCTCGTTTTGTAAGTGAAGGGTATCGAATATGCATTTGATGACATCAGAAGTCAAACATCGGTCAACAATCTCGTTGCTTTGTTGTTTCGTGTTGTTGTCGGGTGCTCTTCCTAACAAACAAGTGACAAGTTCTGTATACTCCATGATGTTTTGACCATACATCGGTAAGCATTTGACTTTTTCTAACAGAATCGCCAACATTGTTTCCTTAAACGACTGCTTCCCATGATGCCAGGCTCCATACAACACACATTTGGCTTCCACACGAACAGAGCTTGAATTCCACTCGAGTAAAAAGCAATCAACAAACTGTCTCAAAATGTCATACCCTTTATCAGCAAAAATCTCCACCATTGGCTCCATGTCCATGTAGGATTTATCCAAACCAGATTCCGATCCCGTTCCTGTTCCCTCGTCTCCTTTCTTTTTCTTTTGTGTCCCGGATTTGCTTGAACTAGTTGTGGAAACAGTCTCACCTCCTTCGATTTTCTGTAATGACATGCTAATGTCTTTCCCATTGTAGAAGGACAAATTCAAGAGTTTAAGAGATTGAGACACGCATTCTTCTGGGAAATAGAAGACGCCATTGAGAAGAAAACGCAACACATCGCCATGTCTCGAACAATATTTCTGCCAGTTTCTGGGACGTGAAGAAGCTACTTCAGCCATGGTAGACAAACATTTCACCACCTTGACACTTCTTTCATAGGAAAGAGTGCCTTGAAATCCACCCGACTTGTTCACATGTTTATACAGCTTCTTAACTTCACTTGAAAACTGCCACGAGTCTCGAATGCTGTAGTAGTGTGTTTTGCTACCACATAGATGTAAGAACAGTCTCCTGGCATATCTTCTTACGAAAGTTGTATTGGGATTATTGATGTAGCTGCAGAGAACGTCTTGATACCCTTCAAGCTTTAAATCCTTTCCAGATGGGATTTTGAAGAACTTTTCTTTTTCAGCACCTTTGTTGTCATGCTTTTCAGGGCGTACTAAGCTGTAGACTAATCTGAAAGTGTTCTCCAACAATAACCGATGATAGTCCGCGAACATATCCGCTCGATGAGATTTCGCATACGAATCGGAGAAAAACGGGGAGAAATTACCCGCGGGTATTTCTCTACGGACTGTTAACAGGGCCCCACATCCTGAACCAGAATTAGCAGCATGGGAAGAATCAAAACCAACAGAAGGGGATTTGAAAACATGCATCAGCTGTTGTAAAATATCCATGAGGTAGTTAACAAAATCTTGTTGGCGAAGGGACCCACACGCTCGAAGGAGTTGGGAATGGAAACTGTTTTTCTCTTGATCATCTACAGCTGTTGAAGTAACTGGAGTAGAAGAGGGAAACTGGACAACGGTTTTTTCATGTGCATCGGGTTTCGCCACTGAACTATCACCACCTGGCTGGTGCCAGTTTCGTAACATTAGTGTAAAGAACATGAAGACTAGAATAGTGACTTCTCCGAAAGAAGAACGTGACTTTGCTGTGAAAGGTTTGTTGATGGAAATTTCTTCTAGAAACCATTTTATTAACTTTTCAAGATCTAAACTTTCGGGCCTCGAGCTGTCAACGAAAGGTCCACCTACAGCAGATGATAGCCTGTAGAAGAGCTGCATAACCGGAATGGCACGAACACCGGAAGTAGTCTCCATCCATCCATTTAAAAGTTTGAGAAACTCCGAAAGAATCGAAGAGTTAATCGCCCTTTTTGAAGCGGAAATCGTAACGGAATCAGTAACTGAAGACGGAAACTCGCCGGAATCATTCGTTTCCAAGACATGGATTGCGGGAGCGGAATTCGTGATTCCGGAGTCTGATGATGCAACTGGAAGCAAACATGGATCGGTTAAATCATCGGTAGAGAAGTGCATTTCGTTGCCTTCTCCACTATATGTTTCAGCTTCAATTGGAATTGCTGACATGGGATGGTCTCGCGAGTGAGGAGGGGGGAGTCTGTCAGCATCAAGGCTTTCATAGCAGCCTTCACATAGATCAAAATCAGGGCAGACTGTACAATGCCATCTTCTCCTGAGTATAGGAACAGTGGAACAACCATCACAGCAGTATTGAACAGATGAAGTGATGGAAGAATCTTCCTCAACCATAATCCGAGTGTTTCCACCAGCTGGGTTCGCCACGTCAGCGCGTGTGAGAGCAGCGGTTGTACTGTCTGCTCCGTCATCTGTACCTAACATTGTTTGCTTCGGAAACGGAACTTGAAGTAGCCTCGAAGATATCGCCAAGCTGGATAAAAAATTGTTCAAAAAAAAATATTCAGCATACAATGTTAAAAACTGATGACTAGAGATAATAGATATTCACCTGCTAGATGTCTGAACAGCCTCGTTTTGGGAAAAGAGAAGCTTCTTAAAAAGAGAGACAGCTGGCACAACAGTATCACCACCCGAGTCTTTTTCATGTGAAACCAAACACTCGGCATAAGAGTAAATAAGGTCCACAGATGCTATAACAATGTTGTTCATGGTCTGTGTTTCAGGCTGTTCTATGTCCAAAATCCCCCATAGAACCTGCATAAGCCCATCAACCACCTCCGAACCTACAAAACATCATTTTCAGAAACAATTAAAAAATAAATAACATAAACTGATAATAAAATTTAAAACCATACCATGTGTTTCAAGAAAAGTGGCCAAGTTAGAACGACGGTTGAGTGCAATTTTGGAAACCGCATGCATCTGAGCTGTAAACTCTTCAATAATCCACCCCGATGTACTTCCACCGATTCCAAGCCTTGACAACAGTGTGGAAGTTGATTTCACCACTCCTAGAAGCCTCATTGTGTCTTTAACCTATGAATGTTGTAAATTGTAAATTAGTAAAAGCATAACATAAAAAACTGAAGTAGAGAAGTGACTTGTGTACTTGATAATATATTTCTCGTTTAGGAAAAACAGCTTGAAGAACGCGACATGCAGCAGCTTGCAACATAGGTTCCCTGTCGCTTTCAAATATGGTTTCCAACAGCTGCTTGCATTTTAGTTTGTTCAGCTCTGTTTTTACTTCCTCCATATTTGAAGATCCATGTGGCTTACACAACGTGTATAATCTGGACAAAAGGTTAAGTCCATCTGCAACAACTTGTTCTTCAATAGGAGCAGCTTGACCAGTGCGACGTTTTTTCCCAGATCCTGAAACCCAAGAACTGTTGCCAAGCACACGCGCCTCCATGTCCAGTACTGCATCCATTTTCTCCTTCCAACCAAATTCATCCTTTGCTCTACCATAAATTTCTAAAGTATCTATTCTTGGTAAAGTTGATCTGTTGAAAGTTGGTCCTATGGAGATTGTGATTTCTTCATCAGCTAGAAGGGATTCTGCAACTGTAAATGGGATGTCGTACCATGACCTCATGCCTTCGTCTAGTTTTATAACTCTTTGGAAAATTGTTATCTCCGAGGGTATATGGTTTGCTGATGTGTTCCCCACATGGACACGAAATCCGACCATTACGATGTCCGGATTTGAATTGGAAACTGTTACCTGGAATGGAAAAACACAAGGCATCAATCATGAATCAATACGAATAATTCAGGGGCTGTTTCTTTTTTCTTTTATTGTAACAAAGCATACCTTGAACCCTGCAGGTGTAGGACTTTCAAGAAATCCTTCTTCTGAATTCAAACTCTGTTTTGCACCTTCGGAATCACCGTTCCTGATAGCATCACCACTTAACTTCACATCACCCGTTATGCAAACTGTTTTCTCAAAAAAATCAAGTGGGAATTCCGGCTTCAAACTAGCATAAGCTTTACTGTTGAGAATATCAGATCCTAACTTCTTAACTTTATCCGGAATCACATTTGCACCAGCTTCAACCCCAACAGGAACATGTGTATATATCTGAAGACTACCATCATCATGCAAAACAAGACAATGAATTTTATCTTTCGATAAAGGCTTATACGCGGTTATACCCACCAACACTAAGGTCGAATACACTCCATTCCGCATGTTCTGTGCAAGAACATCATGTTCTCCAATCGAAACAGTCAAAGCAGCGTTTGACTTCACACTCGAAAAGCAAACAAACAATCCACTTCCAGGAAGTAACTCCTTGAAACGATGCAATCCAGCTGGACGATGTTCATCTTCATAAACAGCAGACATCTCAGATAAAGACAACGCGCCATGATCAAGTCTCCCTACTAAAGTTGTCCCGTCTTGGTATGACACAAATAGAAGTTTGTAAGTTGACGAGAAATACAAAGAGGAACCTTTCGCGTGTGTTTCCTTTTCCTTCTCCTTTCCCGGGGTTTTGACAATTTCTTTTAACGTTTTGGCACCGGAGTTTCCTTCATTTGACAATTCCAGTCTGTATAAGGAGCCGAGTTCAGAAAGGACAAGAAGAAAAACCCTGGCTTGTGAAACGACAGCGAGTGTTGCATCTACAATTGTGTCATCTCGCAAAGTGATGTAGTGGATTGGACTTATGTTGTCTTGAGAGAGATCGTATATTTTAACGAATTTGTTGGTGACCACCATGAGTTGCACTTGAGACCCGGGAACCCATTCTACACGTCTTATGTAAGCACCTTGTAATGCAAGCTCAATGGCTAAACGATCTGTGACCTCACCACGATGACTTACAGTCAAAACCTGGCAATCTTCATAGCCTGCAACTGCAAGATAACTCTCAACCAATGGGTTAAAAGCAAGATGCACGATTTCAAAACGAACAACGTTTTTTGATAATGGTTTCACGTTCGCCTTGTCAGCAGTAACAGGTGCGATAGTCGCCTGTCCGATCAGCTGGCCCACATCAAATATAGCTACTTTATCACCTTCTCCAACAGCAAGCCGTCCACGTGTGCTGACACTAAGCAATGATTTCACCAGGGAGCCGCTAGCTAAATGGGCTTTGAGTTCTTTAGCATTTGAATAATCTGCTTTTATCTTTAAATCCAACGAACCACTTTTATACGCCTTTTTTAATTGTAGAAGATCGGAACTGAAACTAAGCACTTTATCTTCACCTAGTGAGATATTCTTGTCCTTTGAAAGGTTGGAGTCTCTTCGGGTGGTTATAGATGGTAATAAAGAAGAACAAAGCTCGAGTACACGGTCTTCAACATCGAGTCCTTTTATCAATTCTGGCATTGCTTCTTGTATCTCTCTTGGGAAAGATAATCTGATAGTGCTGTTGTCATTGTCCAATGAGCCATCCTCATCAACATCCGACTCACTGTCTACCTGATCCCCTTCTTCAGTGAATGGTAGAAATGAATGAAGATTATTACCACTACGGGTGGGCGCGTTGTTACTGTTGCTGTTATTTCCCGTAAATTTCCTAGGTTTCAAACATTGGCAACTGCTACCTCGTACACCCCCGGCCCCACAGTCACAGAAAAACCGACTTGATCGGGAGTATACAACGCGATGTCCACGATGACAAACTTTTGCACATACAGAACAGCAGCCTTTTGAAACAGTTAAATCGCATGTGTAACAGAAGTACCAGTGTTGTTCCATGAAATTGCTCCCACTGGATGTGAATGTACAGACTTTGGAAGCAAGAGCTCTTTCACTGTTGCCATCGTCGAATTCGTCTTTATCGATGCTGCCAACTTCACCGTCTGATGTCCCGTCATCTTCGTCTTCATCTGCTGACGTGGCATCACAGTCGAGAGGTGTGGATGTGGGCCCACCTTCTTGATTGGAAGAAAGAAGCATTGTGTCTGGATGTTTCCTTGAATTCAACCTTGACACCACCTGTCCAATTCTACGCGAAGACTTGTCAACCAGCTTTGTGACACTGTTCTTATCACTTACCATGGATCCAACGAAACCGAAGAGAAATTTTAGGCCTTGAAGCAGACGTTCATCAGAAGCTAGCTTTTTCATTAGCATCACTGTTCGCTCCAAAAGGGGTTTCATTGAGGCCTCGCCACTTGAAAGTTGAACAACAAAATTCAAATATGATTTTGCTGTGTTGACATCATACAGCATGAAGGCGTCATCAAGCGAGATCAACAGGGCTTCGTATATATGTGAATGCAATTCTTCAGCTTGTGGCTCAGGGGACAAAAGTGAGATGATAAACTTCATGGTTGACTCTCTTAGGGATGATGAACTTCCGTTTGTTGACCCTAATAGCCTCTTTTCAAGCCATTTGGAGAGGTGGACCAAATCCATGTCAAGGAATTTCTTCTGTAAATCTGGCTTGAAATTAGGGCATGTGTCTCCAGATAAAAGATCAACAAAGAAAGTAAGGACCTTCACATTAACCGATTCAGAGTTGCAATTATCCAATGCGTCAAAAAAGACCAAAAGATCCCCACGCTGAGAGCCAAATGTATCATCAAGCTCTTTAGAAAGGTCTCCATCAGACATGAAAAATTTTAACACTGGTGCCCTTGAAGGATCCTTCATGATGCTGTCTATGATATCAATAGCTTTGGAGACTACACATTCGTTAACAGAGCTATCAACAGCTTCTCTACCATTAATATCCCGCAAAAACTCGTACATGTTTTTCATTGTAAAAAAATTCATGTAATCAAACCCTTCCAACCCATCACTCAAGCTTCCGTATACTGCATCACATTGACCATGGAGACTGTTGAAAACCCTATCGGTTTTAATTTCCAAGATTGATTCAAGAATCTCAAGGCGTGTGATGGAGGTAAGTTCTTCCGCTTTTATCATCTTCAGAATCCCATCTAGAACAGAAACGATTCCTTTAATGGAAAGAATGCAAGAAAGCAGAAACCCACTGGGGACCTGATTGTTACATGGGAAACCATGCATTGTAAATTCCAGAAAGACCTTATTCCAGATTCCAGGTGCCATCTTATCAACAGCAGTACCCAACTTTGACAAAAGCTCACAGATACTCTCCAATTGTGAAGGACTGAAAGCGCATTTCTCAAAAATCACATCTTGTAGAGACTTGTCAAATCCAGTGTGTTTGAGAAGTAACAGTGGTGAAAACTTATTGGTATCACCAAAAGTAGAAAGTAAGGTCTTCTTGTAAACGTTTCTGTACCTCTGTAATATTACTGATAACGCCCTCAGAAGTACTGCAACCGTGTCTGCATGAAGTGAACTGTTCACAAGCTTTTCAGCAAGTGTAAGAAATTCAGCATCTTTAGATGTCTGGACTAAACCCACCGAGTCATTTTCAATATTGGTGCCATACTTCTGGTTTCCAGCTCCAAGTAAGGAGAGTACAAGAGATAACCATGATCCACTCCGCAGGAAATCCCATCCAAGTTCTTCGGTTTCAACTATGGGCATTGATTGCAACTGTTCTAGCATACTGTACACTAACTTTGAAAAGTCAACACCCGTAGCAACTCCTTGACTACCCAAGATTGAATGACCAAAGTACAAAAGATGTTCTATGTTAGTGATGTCAAGAGTCTGAATCAAATCCACAGAAGTGTGAACAGAAGGGATGTCCCAACAAAGCATAAGAATGTATCTTTCAAGAACCAGATCCTCCATTGTTGATGCTCGTTTTCCTCTCCAAAACCCTAAAATCCAAGAAAGTGAAGCACATACTTCAGCCCAACTCAAACCTAAACATTCAACCACAAGATCTTCTCTGTGTGCTGAAGTGGTAAAAGATGTGACATCAATCAGTTGACTCAAAAAGTTACTGTTGACTTCCCCTTCTATGGTAAAAATCCGCATCACATTCTCCACGGAAGTAGATACCCAAAACGTACCATTGCTTGCATTACCCCGAGCAAGTGGAGCTTCCCTTAACTTGGACTTCAACTCTGAAAGTAAAGTTGGTGGACAAACATTCGGATAAAATATCATGTGTCTAAGAATCAAAACCAATCGTGAAACCAACAATCCCCAACATGACAATTGGGTGCTGTTGAAACCATTAGATAGAGGCTCGATTGATTTAATGGAGGAAAATATGAAAGCCGCGTGTAATGCTTTTTCTTCTTCAGATGACAAATGGAATGACATTAAGAGAATCTCAATGTGAAAAACTGAAGGCAGACTATCGATAACTTCTTTAAGAGTAGGACATTGCGTACAGACTGTTTTCACCTTCTCGAAAACAAATTCCGAAAATACCCTTTGGACTTTTGTTCTCAATTGATTCCCAGACATCCCATCTCGGCATATAAGTGTATGAGCTAAAACCGCAAGTGTCTGATGATTGTATACAAAACAACCGTTTTCTACAGTCAGTATTTTCCCAACAAGGTACTCTTCGAGGGTATCAGATAAAGCATGGAAGGATAACAAGTTATGCAACACCTCATAGCAAATCTCATGTGTATGCACAAACTTCCTATGCTCGGACAAAGATACCCCTACACCTACACCAGCATCAGGACTTCTGTCTCCAGCATGACACCCTGGACAACTCAAAATCGAAAGCATGATATCGATATGATACGAGTTAAGCTTTCTACACGCATCCTCGTATATTGAAGAATGCCATTCAGGTGAAAAAGCACTTGTTTTCAAGAATATAAACAGTTCACTTGCAGCATGGAGAGGCATAAGCACGTTTGTAACAGAACTAGCAGTGATAACAGATTGATCATACCCATCCGTGGACCCCACTGACCTCCCACCTTCTGAGAAAAGGTCACCAAACAAAGCTTCATCCTCATGGCAAACTGTACTTTCAGGTTCCAAAGTAGAAGACGCCTTTGTTAAGCTGGAATACGATCTATCAAGTTTTGGCAACATTTTGACACCCTCAGAGTGAAGAAAGAAAGCAAGGTGCATCAAATTGTTTACCCATTGCTTTGATGTTGGAAATATTACTTTTAGCAACTCCTCAACTGTGTACTTCTTCACCAAAGAGATCCCCCCACATGAAAAGGAATCAACTTCATGTAACCCTTTCAATTCAAGAGCTTGATACTGTTGTTTCTTTATATCTTCAACTAACTTCAGAACATAAAGAACAATCCGTGGGAAGTAGGCCACTGGTAGCTTTATATTTGTAACAGACTTGTCATACCTCCATACATCAACATCCAGATTCTCAAAAACAGAAACTATTACACACACCAAGGTGTTTTGAAACACAGTGCTGTTGCAGAAAATTGTGTGAACTAAGTGGAGAAACGCCTCCAGTAGCAACAATACAAGGCTTTCGATACTGAACTCAATGGAAACATTGTTTGTGGCAAACTCGTATCTGCTTGCAAACAAACTAGGCAACACGTTGATAAATGATGCAAAAGATCCCAACAGCTTAGCATCATATTCAACATATGGGGCGTCTTTGGTGACACTTGAAAGTAATTTGAAAATTCTTGCACAAAATGATAATCTTTTCCTTAAATTGATGCTGTCTATCTTTTCATCACATCTATCAAGATTCTCAATGAGTCCCATGCAATATGAAACAAGGCGTTGTATGCATCTCAAGTGAACAACTGCCCAGTGCTGCAAAAGTGGGACTAGTTTATTTAAATCTTGAGAACTTCTTCCAGTTGTCCATGAGTTCATGTTATCGTGTTGTGTCCATTCGGAAGCTAATGTCATAAGGAGACGATCCACTGGCTTTTTTTCCTTTGAGCAACTATTCCCTTTTAAAAAGAATACAAAGGTTTAAGAAACTTTGCAACTAAATCATGAAACAAGATGCAAAGAAAGAAGAAAAGATGAATACCTTGAAGAATACATTCAATGTGGTCTTGTAATTCAACATTTTCGTTTCTTAATGTGATGGACTTCAGTAAGTCTATAAGAAGATTTATAGAAGGGTGTGACACATCAGTCTCCTTAATCGTTCCATCAACTAATGCGATCTCCAATAACTGCATGATTTTTTGGAAGAAAAAAATTAAAAAAAAAAAACATATAGATGCAAACAAACATAACTATGCTAGCTCTGGACCAATACATTTGTAAACACCATATGTCAATTAGGATCTGAAGCCTTTTAATTGTGTAAAACTATATTGGAAGGAGGATACAATGCATCTTTACATGTCATTTCCATGTAAACTACTGTGTACAAGGAGCATAAAGATATTACATCAATTTTCCAGGGAGTGGTAGTGTGGTTGTAATGTAGCAGTTCTCCTAGATGTAATAATTAGTAAGATGGTGATCATTAAGGAGGTTTCCAGGCTGAAATGATTTAAGTGGAAGCTTAGTGATGGCTTTGCAAGTGGACATGGATTTAATTGATTTTTGGAAATTAAGGATACAGAGGTGCAATCCTATAGAACAAAGCATGTTCAATTAAGGTACTAAGGTCGTACATTGATCTAATTGAAAATGAGCACTTATGCAGCACATGTTATACTAGCTTCTTTAAATTAAAATATTACTGAATATTTGAAACAACCAACTTAATGTGTGCCTAGTAAGAAATAAGAATAATAGAATATCTTCCTGAATTTTAGTCTATAACCCTTATCATAGAGTCATGGCTACTAATAGACAAAACAGAGCATAGACAATTAGAGTTTATCAAGAAAGTGTCACAATCTCATGAAAGTAATTTCCCACAGGTGTCCTCATCAAGTTTAACTCCATCCAGTTCAAAAACAGAAACAACTGTCTCTTGCATAAAAAAATGGTGCATGATGCTATTTAGTACCATACAGATAACCCTACATCATCAACTTCCTGATATTTACTTAGTGTGGCAGCGTTATGAATTCCTTAATAACATAAAATAAAAATAAAACCATAAAAGTTATCTTCCGATCGTGTATACTCTATCAGCCTGCATACTGAACCATTAAACAAAATTACAAACCTGAATGAAACTTATATCATCACTGGTAGCAACTGATTTCTCCAAACAACAAAGAGCAAACTCCAACGCCTGCTCCATAACGGCAACAATTATCGGTTCTACTTGCTCGACTGTCAAATCAGGGAAAAAAATACATATATACATATAAGATATAACACTTGAACAATCACACGACGCACAACACAACTTGAAACGCGAACCGAAATCAAAACATATATACATAAACTCATAATAAAAATGTACCGGAAATGGATCGGGTTGAAGAGACAATCGCGTATGCTACGGAAATAACGGCTTGAATCTGAGCCTGGTCCCAGTGTTGTAGCCCTAATTTTCCATCACTATTGATTTCAACGCCTTGTTTAAGGATCAAATATAGCGTCTCGAGCCCTAACTTTTCAGACCGAAGTCTAATTTCGTTCGACGACGATGACGACTTGTCGTCGAAGAGAACTCCGACCAGTTTGGCGATTTCTTCAGCCATGGCCGGATAAATTGATCGGGGAACCGATGATGAATGCGTGTGTGTAACTGATCGATCAGTACAATTTTAGAGATACTTTATGTGATCGAGAGAGAGCAGAAAGCTCTCGTAGGACTGCGTTTCGATAAATTTCTTTAATCAAAAGAGAGTTTAGTGGAGAGGCTTATTAGTGTGGACAAGACACAGAGGCGGTGGGACTTGATAGAAAAGAAATGAAAAGATTAAAAAGAAAAAAAAAAGGAAGACAAATCATTTCTTAATCCCCAAGTTTTGATTTGAAAAAAAAATTTAGTAAAGATAAAAATAGAGAAAACTTCAAATTTGGTCCTTGTATTTGGTTGATTTCTTTGGTTTCAGCATTTGTGGTTTTAAAATTACAAATTTTCAATAGGTTTTGTTGTAGATTATAGTCTCTTGTAAATAATCATCATCAAATGGCATTTATTAACGTATCTCATATGTTCCTCATGTGAGGATAAAAACTCATATGTTCCTCATGTGAGGATAAAAATGTCTTTTCAGTTTCCCAATCACATTATTGTCATTATGGAAACAGTATACATCATACACTCACTCTTATACGCTTTAGCTTTCCGTTGTCCTTTTCGTCTTCTTTTTCCTCCATTATCATCCTTAAACCCAAGGCAACACCGATTCTACACATGATTTTTGATCATTGCAACTACATGTGTGTGAAGATAGTGTTTTAGATGTGGAAAATTCGACCACTAAACTAACGTTTTGATACGAGAGCCATATATGGTAAGTTCTTTAGTATCCATTAATGTGATGATTGTCGAAGAAAAAAAAAATTGCGATGGAGAAAATTACTAATTTGTTTCATCTTTTTGTATTTTGCTTTTAACAAAAGCAAATTCTAACACATTTTCTATGAGGCTTCACATGGTGGGAAGTTCAAAAAATTCTTAGGGGTTAGATATATGGATGGACAAGTGAAGTATATTGGCTTACTAGACATAGACGAGTTTTATGTCCAGGAGCTACACTTCGCTATGCTTGAACTAGGTTACACACTATCCCCTCAATCATTTATTATTAATGTGCAATTTATATGTTATCTAGTTTTAAATTTATAATCATAACCTACTTAACTAACTAATTGCACTTAGACAGTGCACCTAGTTAAATTTGTAGAATAGTTTAGGTAAGTTGGATATCGAACACAAGGAATGGATTTAGCTAATAAGATAATTACTAAAATTAATCTGAAAAAAAAAACAATAAGTAAAGAGGGGGGGGGTTCTGATTTTACAAGTATAGATTAACCTAAAACTAAACACTCAACTAAAAATGATTGTAAACAAGATTAAGAAAACACTTTCGTTTAACTTAGAATCCTCCTTTTCCTATGTGTAGTTACTAAGTATGGATTTATTTAGTTGGTTACCAATTTTAATATAGTTAGCAGTCTTGATCCGATCTCCTAATAGTTTCACCAATTCATGAACTACTATTTAATGATCATACACAAGCAAACACAAAATTGATTATTAATGATAATTGGGCTATGTAAGATATATATAAGATAATTATCGATGATCAAGACAAATTACCAAAGACAATTATGATCAAATTATGTTCTACAACATAACTAAATTTGTTACCTTTATCACTTAATCTAAGATGTGGCTAATCCTAGCTCTAGCAATTTAATGATCATAAACTGCTAGGTAAAAAAGTTCATGCAATTCAACTGGTCATTAAACTACGATTAACTTGAATCAAAGCAACAAAGATTGAAACTTTAATATTCTAGGTAATGATAATCAAAAACATGCATTAACCAACTTCATAAAAACCAAATTTAAGAAACTAGCACATATTATTAGGGTTCATCTACACTAAACGAAAGTCTAATGATTAGCTACTCATAACAGACAATAAGTACACAAAAACATAAGAATTTGACATAATTAAATCAATGCAAACTAATCAATTTGATGTGTAATTTTCAAAATATTGATCTTCAATCTTCTTTTCTTCCAAACGGTTGTTTTTTGCTCTTCTCTTTCTTTTGAATTCGACTATATCTCTTGAATTTCATATTCAACCTCCTCAAGTCAAATATGTAAAGGGATATTTATAGTTTCCTAAATTCGTGTCCCACGTCGTGAGAATTAAGGTCTCACGTCGTGAGCTTAGACTAAATTGTGTCTGGCAAGGAAACTGCATTTTGCGTAACTATCTTCTGGAAGAATTCCTCCTCGCGACGTGAGATTATAATGCTCATGTCGTGAGCTCCATTATTGTGCATATCATCAAGAATTTTCCTTTCTCCATGTCACGGTACTCTGTAGCCACGTCATATGACTTGTATTTTCATGGGTTTTCTTTCTTTTAAGCTCCGTTAAGCTCCTAGCTTCAACTCTAGTCCTTCCAAGTTCCATCTTTTGTCGATTTTGGTCCTTTTCCTTCAAAACTTTCATATTTGGCTGCAAAATTTAATTTACCTCAATAAGTACCAAATATATTTGCAATTAACCAAAATATAGCTTAAATGTTGTAACGCCCGCAGATTTGGGCTAGTCAATTTAGAGACAATAAGCGCTAAAAAATGAATTTTTGATAGAAGATTATTCAGGATAAATAATCTTAACCAAAGTTATAGTATATGTCACAAAAATTTTGTACATATAAAGAACGTTGAAATCCGACCTGTTGAAATTTCGCGATTAAACCAACACGGCTCCGCGTATCGTAAAAAGTAAATTTTTGACAAAATAGTTGTTAGCCTTAGCGATCTAAACGAGAGTCATAGTAGACGTTAAACCGAGAGTGTGCATATAGAGAACATCCAAATCTGACTTCATTAGAGGAATTTATGATTTTTCTAAGATTCAGGGTAGCAATATACAACTCGGAAATCGAATGTTAGATCGATCGATTATTAGCCGAGACAATCTAAAAGAGAATTGAAGATCTCGTTAATAGGAGCTCAACGATATAAAGACAGTAAAAAACGGACGTCGGATGACAAAGTTATGAATTTTTAACGGACTTTAACTGTCTAAGCCTGTTAAAATATAACTTTTAAAAATAAAGTCAAAATTAGCCCACATCTAGATTACGCGGAGCGTACCTCCCTTGGTACGCTTAGCGTACGCAAGCGTACACGCGAATCCTGATCGGGGACACTAGATCAGTACGCGGGGCGTACTGGAATTACGTTGGGCGTACGCTCAGTTTTGCTTAATCCACTCTCTTGGTCTTAACCCGTTAAGACCATAGCTATACTCTCAGATCTGGACCCCCTAAAGGCTCATACTCCATAAAGTTCATGACTTTAAGCCTTTGCATGGCTGAGGAAGTCCCAAACACAAAAACTCTCGCTCTTTAATCCCAAAAATGCTCATATCTCATGCATGGGGTGGTTTTGACGTCCAAGACTCCATTTTTATGAATCCACTCCATTAAAAACACTCAAAGGGACATATAGTAGGCTCTGGAGTTCAACAACTCATAAAGCTTCAAGCTTTGGGACCAAAAACCCTAATATGGACCATAATATGCTCAAATCAAAAGGGATGAGAAAGCTATGAGCTTTATACCTTCAAATGATGCTCCAACCACAGAAAAGTTCATATCCAAAGCCTGGACTCCAACTTCATTCTCTTCAATGCTCCTTCTTCACTCCAAGAATACCACAAGAACACTTAGAATCTCACAAGTGGACACTCAAGCTCAAGGGATGGAAATTAGGGTTTGGATAAGGTTGAGGTCTGGAAATGGTGGCCAGAAATGAGTCCATCATGTTCTTTTTATAGGGACACATCCCTCATTTAGGGTTTTCACTCTGGGACTAGTACGCCCAGCGTACTAGGTGGCTCAGCTTAAAAGTCACGCACATGAGTACGCTAAGCGTACACACACGTACGCCCAACGTACTCAGCTGCCACTTTTCTCAAATAAGGGACCTATCTTGCCAACACTTCAAAATATGACAGCTTCCTCGTTATAAGTCTGTTTCCAATGAACCTCATATACACGGAAAAGGTGGCGAGAAGCTGTACGCTTCTAGCAACTCGTCGCAGCCCCGAGGCTTCCTCATGCCTGGGTTGCAGCCCACGAACCCTAAATCATGGATGATCTGAAACAGGATGTTACAATTCTCCCCCACTTGAATTAGATTTCGCCATCGAAATCGCTCCTTATCCTTACTCAGATCCCAACAATTAGCCCGAGAAGCACAACCGAATCTTCAGAACATAGCCGATCCCCCTCAAGACAACCGAAATCAAACCGAAACCTCCAACTTGAAGAAGAACGAACCCTTCGATGTTGCAGAAACCCCCCTCTGCCTCTCCAACACTTGGAATCTGTAGCGGTATGTCCCCCCGACTGACCGTCCATGCAGTATATCCCCATGTCATTCGCTCATCGAATAACATACTCGATAAAGCATCTCCAACTATCTGGAATTGAGGTATTGTTTCAATATGAGGTTTTTTCATTAACATTTGAGCTGCTTCTGCCAGTGTAAATTGTTGTTGGTCATAACTTTTTTTGAGTTTCTTTTTTAATCCAAATTGGTGTAATTTGTAGTTGTTTTGAAGTTTTTGGAAATTCTTTTTTCATTATTAATGGAATATATTCCTTGTTTAGAGACGCACATCAAGTGTTCGATGAAATCCCTGAAACAAACATCACTGCAAGTTTAATTTTGTTTGTGACTTTATAATGTTTTACTCATTTGTAACACATGTATGCACATGATGTTTATTATTTTATCATGAATTATGAAGTTTCTGACAAATGTACACCTGAATCACAAACGAGGCTTGTATTTTTATCACCTTATTCATAACTAGAAGATTCTTTAGCTAAATTTCTTTCTCAAATGCAGCTATGTGGGTAACATTCACACATAAGTAACTGAACCACTTCTTGAAGAGGTTTTTCCAAAGCAATGGTGCATTGGTAGGAAAAGAATCGGAGATTACAAATATGAAAGTCAAGGAAGATGGGAGGAGGAAGTAAATGAGGGTGTGTTGAATGAGAAGAAAAACAAGACAAATAGAATTAAGAGTTCCAGTAAGAACCTAAAAGTCAAAACCTCAAGCAAAATTGGATTTTGTCCATCCTCGCAGCCAAACAAAACACACCATGATGGTTTAGAAATTAAGGTTTGATAGTTATTTCCCCTGTTTAGCTTTTAAAAAATGATTTTTGCCCA